GAGCGTCGCGTCGCGACTGTTCCAAAACAAAATGCGACCAGGAAAAAGCGCTCTGGGGACGCAGCTGCCGAGGCGCTGCGCGGGCGCGGGCGCGGGGTCTGGTGCCTGTTGCTGGGCCTCCTAGAAATGGTTGTTTTGAGACCATTCGGGTCTAACTACGGGACCGGCTGTGTGGGGGAGACGGTAGCGGGAATCGACAACGTCCCTGCTCATCCCTCCACCTCCCTTCTGCTCTAATGACGAGAAGGACATTAGATCTGACGGCCTGCAGGCTTCCCCCAGGTCCGCTCCTCGGTCCTGCCCCGGAGCTGCGCCCCGCGGAGGGACACGGCAGATGGGCCACCGTGTGCGACGGCCAAGAAGCTCCCCAGGGACCCGGACGCGCCGAGGCAGTGGGCATGTGGAGCTGCAGCCCGGGCAGGGGACAGGCACACAGCGGGGAGGGCGCCTGCCCAGTCCGTCACGTGAGCCTTCTCCGACCAGAAGGACGCGTACAGTTTGGCCAAATCCGCCTGGGACTCCAGTGTCCAGGCCACCCTCTGGCCAAACGCGCCGTCCCACCAACCCGTGGTGCCCGCTGAGCGTGCAGCAGTGCTGATCTGTGTTCACAGGAGCCAGTGGCCGGGGCTGGGCGTGGGACTTGGTGTCTAATTTGGTGGCGGCTTTCCCGTTTTCCAGTGGTCCTGTTCTAACGCCCATCTTAAAGCCTCAGGCGGCGTTCGACCTCATGACACCTGGAGATGGGAAGTAAACTCCACCCGGAGCAGAGTGGCCCTGCTTGGGGGCAGCGCAAGACCTCGGGTCACCTGGAGCAGCTTCTCAGGGATGCCCCTGCCTCAAAGACCTGGGTGCCCCGCTGGTGCAGCCCCCCGCCTGCAGCTCTGCCAGTGACCACCAGGGGTCAGACATGGCACCGCAACTCTCCCCTGGGGTCCAGGTCTGGGCTGCAAGGCAGGCAAGAGGATGCCCCATGCCCGAGGCCTTGCCGGGAGGCCTGGGCCACCCCCAGCTCCCCGTCAGGGACCCTGTGGCAGCTCCTCCCATGTAGACACTGCTGCTAGCTCCGTGGTGATGTCCCCAACCCCTGCAGCCAGCTCCTGGCCAGGGAGAGGCAGTGCCCTGTCCTCACATAGCAGATGCCAGCTGATGACTGCAGCACAGAGTGCCAACTGCTGCTGCCCTCCTTCTCAGGCTCGGGTGCAGGCCACCTGGCTGGTGCTTGGCGAGCCCACGTACCCTGTGCCGTTACAGGGAACCTTCTTTCGCTCCTCACACCAGCCTTACGCGGTAGGACACGGTAAGATGAGAAAACGGGGCTCAATTACTGGCCCAAAGTCACCCGGCTGGGAAGCAGGACGGCCTGAATCAGGCAACTGGAATCCAGGAGAACCAGGGTTTGGGCGAGAAGGCACGCTTCCCAGCACCCCGCACCCCACGGACCCCGCATTCTGCGGATCACCCACACTCCACAGCAGACACAAGCACAGACTCTGCCAGCATGGTCTGGCCCCTCAGCGGGGACACTGTGGGTCCAGAGGCACAAGGCAGGTTGTCTGAGGCCACAGATGGGCTGCAGTGGTTTCCATGGGAACGCCCACCCTCCAGCCAAGACGCGTCTCCCTGTGCTTGTGCAGGGACAGCCAGCCAGTCCTGCGGGGAGCCAAACCCACCCTCCATCAAACCAACCTCCTAGCTCCGGGCCTTTCCCGATCTACTTCTCACCTCCTCTCTCCTGACCAAACCACTCTTGAGGTGGCCTGGGCACAGAGTGGCTTCCCACCCCTACAGCTCCTCGAGGCACTTCCGACCCACCTCCCACACATCTGTGTACCCCCCGAGTGCAAGCATGGCCTCTGCTGAGCTGCAGGCAAAGGGCATCGCAACCTCTCTCGCAACGCCCGGCACAGGTGCCCTGGAACGACTTGGAGGTCTCACTGACCGGCCTTGCCGACAGCCTGTCAATTGACAGTGCGGCGTGGCCCGTGCTGTCGGGCGTGGTCAGACGCTTGTTTATCGTGGGGGGTTGGGGAG